AATTTATGGGCTATAGTTTTTGAATTAAAAATTTAAAATTTGCTTGTCTCGTGACTTGTTATATCGTCGACATTAATCGCTAGCATAGCGAGTCACACGAGCACGAGCACGAGTAATGTGGACGCGCCTTAAGAATTTATAACTTTGTGGTCCACAAAGCAGCCTGAAGACCCAAAACTGGAAGTAGTAGAATGCTACGGGAAGCTACTCTCAGGGCAGGTGAATGAGTAAATGACTTTCATTGAGTTAGGAAACTGAAAAACTCCACTCATTAACAAATTCGTTCATAAAGAATAGGAAGATCCCTAAACAAATTACTGAAAAAGGATACTCCAGAGAACCGCCTGAATTTGTGAACATTCGGATTTCACTTTATTTCTGTTTCTGTTATTATCTGTTTGTTCTTGTTCTTTTCCTTGCCCACGATTTTACGAATGGTCTTGCAACCCAATTCGTTAAATTTTTCCTTAAAAACTTTATTGTCAAGAGATGAGAAATATTCTCAATTAACAAGCACTTCTTCTGTCAATATCCGTGTTATTCATTAATTGACGGCCTTTTCAGGTTCTGCCCATCTCATAGCAGCAGCTGTTATTGTCTTCCAGTCGTCTGTAATAGTCTTCAGTATTCTGAGTGTCTGGTGGTCTCTGTTTTCCTGTAAGCCTTGACCTATCATAGGTCTAAATAATTTGTTGTAAATGACATTACGCGGTAACTGCCTTCTAAAAGAAGTTATTGAAGGAAAGATAGAGGGGCGGATAGAAGTGACCAGAAGACGAGGAAGAAGACGTAAGAAGATGCTGGATGACCTTGGGGACAGAAGAGGATATTTTCATTTGAAGGAGAAAGCTCTAGATCGCATCAAGTGGAGGAACTGTTTTAGAAGGGACTGTGGACCTGTCGTCTTGACAGATTGCAGATGAATGAATGAACATAAGCCACAAATTTACTGCTCAGAAACGAAAGGCTTAGAACTCAGCGCAGTGAATGTATGGCTCCGGCTATTGAGAATGAGCCGCTGCTGTTGAAGGCTTTCCAGCGTCTTGGGAAACATTGCATTTGTCATCCTTAAGGTTAGGTATCTGAATATAACAACTGCAGTGTTTACCGAAACGTCGCGAAAACTTCAGCATCCAACGCGACTTATTTCTGAAAGCCAAAATCATACAGTGAACTCCAGTCGCGAAAATCTAGAGCAGACTATTTACAGTGACAATATCTGCCCTAATAAACCTCTTAGTTTCGGTGGAAATATTCTTCACGGTTTATACTACAGGATGACATATTATTATTTTTAAGAATTAGTCATTAAGTGGCTTAGTATTAACAGTGGTACTGTATTGTTATAATTTTGTTTTCCCATTAAGTATCTAATTAAGCACTACGCCTTGAAGGCGTATGGGCGAATGGATATATAAGTAATCCATGTTTACTTGAACTCGGTACTAGTTGAGGGTGAGTGCTCAGCCTCAAGTCCCAACCGTATTGTCCCCGGGGAGAGAGTCCCCAGTACCCATTGAATAGGAGACTGGGGGGGTCCCAGAACTGATCTGGATTATGTGGAGAAGAGAAAATTCTTGATTCTGCTTGGACTCGAACTCCGATCCCTCTGTTGTTCAGCCTGCAGCCAGTCGCTATACCGACTACGCTACCCCGGCTCCATTTATTTTCCCATTAGGGATTTAAAAATTTAAATACTGAAGAAGATAGAATGAAATGAGGAAGGACCAGACGTTAGTGGCTGCAAGACGTGGAGAGTGAATTATGGGGGCTGAAAGTGAATAGATGGAGGCCAGAGGCAGGTAATAGAGAAGAATGGGCATCAGTCGTGTAGGAGGTCAAGGTCCTTAGAGGATAGTAGAGCCAGGGAGTGCTTAAGTATGGTTAGACCTCTATAAAGATCTTTTAACAACTAGGTCAGATTTTAACCTCAGGTTTATACCGAAACAGTCAGAATCACCTGGACTACATCGAGCTGTAGATGGATCATAACGAGGGCTGCTGTCAAATTTGAGTCTACTCGAGTACCCGCTTGTGGGACTCAACATTATCCTTAAAATTTTCTTCTTCTCTTTCTCTTTCTTCATATTTTCTTCTCTCATCCCCCTCTATTTCTTTTTCTTTCTCACTCTTCATTCTTCTGGTACTCCTCTTTATTGTACTTAATATTCCTATTTTATTTCTTATCTTCTTATTCTTGTCCTGATTATGATTTTTCTGCGAATTTTAAATACGTGTCAGAGACTCGCAACGTTTGATAGTTTGCCCTGAAGTTCTGCTTATGATTCATTAAAACTTACCTTATGCCAGTTTGTTTATATTTGGTTGTGTGTGACTTTGTCTGTAGTTCTCTTTTTATTGTTTAATTTGTTTCCTCTTTCTTTCTTCTATACAAACTTTATTTTAACCATGAATGTTATGTTTCGTCCAATTTCATCCTCGATTTAAGCAACTTTATCTTATTAAGTAAAGAGTAAAAACTCTGGAGCACCTCATTACGTAATTTTCGTTATTGTCCTGGATGTTACTTTATGTCTCGTCTCAAAGTATTCTTCCTAGTATTTTATTCTCAAACACACGTAATTACTTCCTGTTCCCTTAATGTGAAAGTCCCAGTTTCACATCTTAAATAGCATAGGCAATATTACACTTTCATATCGATATTATGCTTTTAAAGAATGGTATGTATTTCCATAGTATAGATTGTTGCTACCTTTATACTGAGCAGGGCGGTGTAGTACACAATGTAAAACTGGCAGACCAACAGAGAACCACTTCTGACAATAAATACACAGCGTTGACATCCCTTCTTGGCCACCAGTATCTGCAAGCGCCTCTACAGAAAGTGGCATTCTCTGTCGGCTAAAAGAGGAATTAAAGTACGTGGTAGTAGGGGTAGGAGGGGGTCAATTTGGGTGGGGCACTCCACAAATTGCCATGTATTGGGAGGGAGAGAAGCTGAGACTGGCGTTTGAAGATTGTAATTTGCTTTGATCTTTCTCTCCAATCTAAATCACCCTCATTCACAACGCTCTCCCAATCTCCCTTCAAGCCATATGCATCCATTCCCTAGCTAGCTACCCTCTGTGGAAGAAGACACAGAAAATCCATTGCTACAGCAGATTTCTATCACATATGAGAGCCACTTGCATTATTCATCTGCCAGCAGTCTCTCATCTCATATTAAGGACTGAACATTCGTATCTGCGTTACATGTTCAGGGCATTAAGGGCAAGAAACAAAGATACTCCGATCCACATGACTGTTCAGCTCATCAAGAAACTGAATCATTGGACTGACGTGATTTGATGAAGATGAATAGACCGCTTCAAGCTCCAGATTCTTCGACTCTGGTACTGATTGGTTAGAACACTGGGTTGCCCGATGAACCTCTACGTGAATGGTGACGGAGAGCAAAATCATTGCCCTGCGTAGAATTGAAACCAGTCTGCCTGTCCGTGAACGTTCACTTTAATGGGCCATACCGCTTATAGCGGCCATGTATATATGCTTCTACATGTGTATGTATGTATGTATGTGCGGTGTATACATAGGCCGTGAATATACATACATGTATGTGTGTTGGTGTGCATAGTTTTATAGGAACATTCTGTAGAACAGAACAAAGTTTCAGGTTTGTCGGCGCATATTTAAAAAGAAGGAAGAAGAAGGAATACAGCGGATCGTTGTAATTAAGCCGCAGCGTAGCGTGAAGTGCAGACGTCATCACAAAGTGTTTTCATTAACTTGCTCTGTGTCCTGTTCGTTGCTTGAGAATTATTAAAATTTACTGCTTATATTTCTGTTATTTTATGCATGCATAATCTCAACTTTGCTTGTTTTTGTACGAATTTCAGTCCACAAGGAAAAACAGAAGCGGGGATAGATACTCATATACTCCATTTTTGGGTACTCACGTCTTTTAGACGAGTTCTTTAAAATTTTATATTGGCCTATTGCAGATCTTAGAGCGGACCAATGAGAATTTATTTATTCTTCATTTCAGTAACAGAGTAAGTTTATTGAGGTAGATCTTGTACAGGATATCTACCGAAAATAACTTGAACTCATACAGTGCAACATTCTTTTTGACTGAGTCACTTGCCATATTGGTCGCCACTCATACAACGTAATATTTACGAGTTCACGAATATATTTATGCATATCATATTTTCGCTAAAACTTCCTTCACTATAAGAATCTGTCACAATTTCAGTGCGTAATTTCATGCCGCATATTATTCAACAGCAAAAGTAAAAAAGGAGGCCAGTAGTCTGCTCAATTACGTTTCAGATACAAGTGTACTTTTGAGAAGTTTTCAGTCAAATTATTTTTCTTAGTATTGCGTTATGCATTAACTACATCGAAAAATGTTTAAAGTAAAATTTATTCTTGTTAATGGGATATATATTTCATGATTTTTAATTACATGAGTCTTTTCTGCGATAATCGATAAAGTTCGGTTTCAGCTTTATATGAAGTAGAGTTTATGTGTGACAAATAGGAACAGGCACTAAATCTACGCGCTCCTCCATCCTGGTTTTCTGAGAATATATTTCCGTTGTTACTCTATTAAAGCCACCGTTTTGCTCTCACATATTCTTCCAAGAAAAAGTTATATACTTATATTTACTACGATAATCTGTTCGGCCCACGTTTATATAAATGTAATTAGATGTACGCGCATACTTTATTAAGCAGCTTTAAATGTGTTGAAATTCTCTTGGAATCACCAGTACGAATGAATATGTACACCTAAATATAAGCACATAAGGATTGAAGCGGTTCTAGGGAATGTATGTTTAAATTCTGTTGAAGCCATCTACAAACGTAAATATACCCACATGCTGATTGAAGATAATCTTAAGAACGTATATTTACATTTTGTCCAGCCCATCTACAGATGTAAGTATGCAGCTGCTGATTGTAGCCAGGCTTAAGAACATAGAGATTTACATTTTGTCCATCCTGTCTACAAACGTGTATGTTTACTCAGTTACCTGTGACAGATGCGTCAGCTGTGATGACGCGTAGTACGACACTCGAGACGGACAATATGTGGAAGCTGGTTTGGAGTAGATATGGTGGCTGTATCGACCACTCCCATTGGTGGAGGTGATGTAAGTTGCACTTCCAACGGCAGATCCGATATTTGCCGTTGCGTAAGGGCTGGGTGACGGTGATGATCGCCGTGACAGCGGAAGAGGTAACTTGTGGAAGCTGGCTATAGTTGCGTAACTCCCGCTTCCCACGCTACCAGCACGGCCAATTGAATCCAATCGAATGAAGACATTCGGGTTACTACCATAGGCGGCGGTAGTGTAAGTTGTACTGTAACAGAACACCAGCGTTAGTCGCATTACCACTACCACCACAATGATATTGCTACGGTTGATATTAAGAACAAATACAACAATAATAATTTTCAACAGGCAGTTTGTTTGAATTTCGGCCATGGATCCGGCTAGATCGAGATTTCTCCATATTTCTTCTGTCCTTTAGTTCTCCTCCGTTCCGCTTCATTTTTCATTTGCCACTAGGCCACTTTCGTACTTTATCCAACGCCGTTAAAAGAACTGCGAGACAACCAAGAATGCTGTGGCGTATAGACTCGTTGCTAAGCAGTGAATCTGTAAACAGCGGTCGCTGCTATGTTGCTGTTGTGCAAACGGTAATGAACCTTCGGATTTTACGAAATACACCGAATTTCTGGAGTAGCCGAGAGACTGTTAATTTCTTAAAAAAAATGAAACTAGATGGAGTCGGCCTGTGACATGTTTTATGAGGCCATAAAACACACTCACGTGCCACTTGTTGCTGTTCAGCGCTCAGTTGTGTGAGAACAGACAGTGAAACCTGCAATGGTCATTTGACCACTTCTGTGAAACAGCTCAGCGCGAGAGTGGTCTATAGTGCACAGAAACAGGTATGAAGGGTCTAAGGCATGAAATGTCTCTGATCACTCAAGCACATGGAGCGTGGGTTCGAATCCTACTTAGGCATGAATTTCTCCTTTTTTTCCGTACAGGTAGCGGCCTTGCGTGGGGCAGTTCCGCTGGCCAAGGAGCCCTACCGACTGTATACGAGATTCACCTGAGTGGGAACAGGCCAGACGGCATAATCAATCAAGATAGAAGATCTTTTAGAATCCTGATTTGTTTAAAATGACAGAAGTGAATGCCAAAAAGGTTGAGCTCAGTTTAAAGCTGTTAAAGTTATAAGAACTGGTAGCCGACGAAATGACAGAGACATTTTCATTTCTGATACACTCTATAGGTGCTGAGAAGCCAACTCAGTCTCAGCGGTTTGTTTAACATTAATCGCTTTATGTGTGATTTTTTTAATTTGATAAGAGAAATGAATTTATACGTACAACATATTATTATATAAACATGTTAGAAATTGTCGAGCTAATAAATAAGAAATATTAAACCAGAATAGCCCATAGAAAGGATTTCAACTGTCGCAGTAACTGGACAACTTGCTCAAAATTGTAGATTCCTATTGTAAAAGTTAATATAATCTCAGCTAGTAAAGAATTTTCTTGCCTATATAGAATTTCAAATTTTATTACCTTATTCGGTGTAATCCACACTGGACGGAACCCTCAGTCTCCTGAATCCAGTCCGTGTCCTCTTACCCTCTTACCGACGTTTCGGAGAACATGCTTTCTCCAGTTCAAGATTGAACTTCACTCCTGAGAAGCAGCATGTTCCTCTAAAACGTCGGCAACCACCCACAAATGTGAACGATATCTCAACTAAGATCGTGTTAACAATTACCGCTGTGAAAACCTCAAATCTTATTCCTATTTTAAGGCAGTTCATTAACCAAACACGACGCCATGAAGACGCATAAGCAGGAGAAGTAGCTCCACTATTTTTAACCTCGCCATTAGAAGGATATGAATGGCCAGCTTCACGCCAAAGCCGCTTTACCACTAGTGAGACAGGTCCCGGTTCACATTTTATAAAATATTGGATGTGTCCCAGAGAAGAGAAAAGTGTCTTGCCGTACCGGGAATCGAACCCCAGCCGTCCAGCCCCTAATCTGCTGTAACAGTCCAAACCTTTTAATACTCTTTAATGGACACTATGTTCCTCTTCAGCCATTTCAATAGAGTGACTGATTTATAAGGGAGACCCATCCATTAAGAAGTTTCGCATTTAGACAGGAACAACTGCCTTGTTTTTTTTTCCTGTAGCTTGGGTGACCGCAAAAGGGTCGAGGCCCATTATGAAAAGGCATGTCTGTAGTCTGCCTAAGATGTAAATGTTGTTTTGCTAATAGGGTAGCTGTTATAAAAGTGTCTTCGGAAGGGTGTAATTAGACCCTAAACTAAGAAATAACCGCTTTCACATGTAGGGTTCTGGGTTCAATATCTTTGGATCTCTTTATTCTCAAAGTTAGTAATGTGATTGTCTTGTACTGATGGTATGATGAATTGGCAGTTAAAATCAGCCATTAGAAACTATTCTTGTCTGGGAGAAAGGCCGTCGGTTCAAATCCTATACAGTGGATGAAGTGACGCTCCCGCAGAATAGAGTTGGCAGAAGCACTTGGCACTTAGAATTCACCAGAGGCAGACGTCATTTACCTGCTCTCTCCAAGTTTATCTAAATTTAACAGTCTTTATTTGGTTCGATTAATCTTTGATAATAATAAAAGGGCACATTACTCCCTACTTGCCAATAAAGATATAGTGTTTGCTTCTGAATTAAACAATTTGTGATTAAGCAGAAATAGAGTATTTTATTTGTATCAGTGGACTAGTTTTAAATGTGCAGTCTCCTTGTCGCCCCAGTTATTACCGTGGCACAACCCTGAGAAGAGTCAAAAGTGTTCTACCGAAGCGGGCAAATAAATGAGTCAAGTGTTCTACCGAAGCGGGCAAACAAATAAATAAACATAAAGATAGATAGGCAACGGTCACGAGAAGTGGTGAACAACGGTTATAAGAAGTGACAGCCGAAGTGCGGTTGTACTGCCTCTGTACCGTGTTCTCTCGAGTCTGTATTTATATTGTACTCTTATTTCATGTATGACAAGTTTTCAGCAATAACGCAGCTGGTCACACGCAGAAAGCAGACAGGTGTTAGATGCGCGTGAAGTGTATATGCCTTAACACGTGTGCAGTTTCTGTCATTACCCTCGACAATATATAGAACAATAACTTTAGTCTAACAGAGAATAGATTTCGATTCATATTTTAGCCAGAATTTCCTACTGAGAACGGTAAGCTTCATCGTCCTCTGTGGCTGGGTTTGGGTACTAAATTATGAGGGGGTTAAAAGGGGTGATTTTGCTAGGTGGAGTGTGATGTATTATTTAGAGAGAGCCATGTGACATTCTTTATGGGCGCGATTATGGGGGATTCAAGTCGTGCTTTTACTCCTCAGCCGCAAGGGAAGGCGCAGAAGAATGAGAAGATGGATTGTCGAAGTAAATTCGTGGTGGACTGCACTGGTTAGGTAGGAACACTTGATAAACAACTCTTCTTTCTCTGTAACTTTTCTTTTATATATTTTTCTCTTTGTTTCTTTCATTACTTCCTCCTTTTTGTCCCTGGAGTTGGTTCCATAAAGCTTGAACATTTTTGACTGCTGTCGGAATGTGCCGAACCCTTAATATCGCGTTCTGTCCAGGTAGTCACCCCCTTCCTATACTGCGATCGCCAATAACACATAACGACCGTAGCGTGCAGATATTGAAAAGAAAATAATAAAGCAAAGGAGAAGGGAAAATACATCCTTCAGTTACGCTTATAGAGAAGGAGTGGCGTATGTGCTACGGTGTGTTCTGTCATTCTTCTATGTATGCTTCTATGTATGTGTTGTAATAGGTAAAGTTATCCCTGTAACAGGCCGTGGAGGCCCATAGGGTTGTGAGAGGTTGAGGCTCCCACATCTTCTAGACAAACGGCTGACAAATAGTTGTTATGTTGTCAGCCATTTACTCCCAGGAAGATTCCTGGTACTAATTTATGTTAGACGCTTAGTCGAACCAAGGACCATAGTGCGGCTGGAAGGATTAGGTAATTGAAAAAATTCACCTCATTGGGACTCAAACACGTGACTTTCCGACTTGTAGTATAGTGCCTCAACCAACGACGCTACCGCGTAACCCTCAGTGTTTTAATGCTGATAATTTCGGGTTTCTGGAAACAATCTTTTTCGGTATAGCCCGTATCCTTAATGAGGTTTTAATGGTTTTCCAGTTGAAGTATGCCACTACTTTCTCTTTCCATTATCTATTCACCGTTCATGATTACATTTCCACCGCGTTCGACTTCAGTTTCTGCGGTTGAGAAAACGTAACACTGAATAAGAGTGTTATCCGGATTTACCATCTAACAATAACACTATCATGTCCATCATGTTCTTACGTCTCAGCACTGTACATGCATTTCGCCCGCACTGATATTGCCAGTCCCTGCAGTCACTTATACGCATTCGTGTTAAGACCGGTGATGCATACTCCCCATGTTAATTGGGCAACCTGTGATCACATGACCCGTCCGCGGAATCGGATGGAGGAAACATATTCTGAAATTATGCAGGGTAGCTGCAAAAATGCTTCATAATCAGTAGCTGACAACAGAATAGACCTCCAGCTTCAGGGCTCGGAGGATGGCTAATAACTCTCAACGGAAGAAAGAGAGAACATGTTACGAATTACTAGACAGAGCTTCGAAATTGGACGGATTTTCTTTTAGAAAGGTTGAAACTCGATACATGAAGCATACATGAGGGATATGAGAAATGCATTTTCAGTTTTAGTCAGAAAACCTAAAGGGAAGAGATCATTTGGGAGACCTAGGCAAAGTAATATTAAGAGTGGTCTTAAAGGGATAGATTTTGTTGGTGTGCATTGCTTATATGGTTCAGGTTTACGTCCAGTGTTGGGCTATTTTTAACCAGGTATGAAATTCTGATTATATAAAATATGGGCTATTTCTTGAACAGCTTAACGACTGTCAGCTTCTAAAGAGCGTCTCTGCTTCTAAGAAGCAGTGCATATTCCGCCTAGAACGGGGGTTTGCATGCTGGATCCCTACTACTGCGGAGATTGAGGCAGTGATTTCAAACACTTTGTGTAATTTACATATAAGATAAAGGTATCCCTGTAACAGTCGTGGAGGCCCATAGGTTTGTGAGATGTAAAGGCTCCCACATTTTCAAGACAATCCCCTCACAGACAGCGGTGAGATTATCAGCTTTACCTGCCTGGGAAGATTCTTGGTATTCATTTGTATTAGAGGCCGAGTCAACCTCAGAGTCATAGTGCGGCTGGATAGGTCAATTGGAAAATCTAATGACATCGGGAATCAA